GTTGATGTTGTGGGGTTTTTTTTTGGTGGGGGTGGGGCAGGATCTCTGCACCTTGAAGTGGTTCTTCCTTTTCTCTCTTCCCCCATTTGTCATCCCCTGGAGAAGTCTGAACAAATTGAGGCAGGCTCCTGTCGTTCCTTAAATGCTGATGCTGAAGCTGCCAGTGGGGGGAATGGCTGACACATCTGGAAGGCCTTTAAAGCGCAGCAAAGCAAATTGCAGCCTGGAGCAACTGCGGTGGCCACGTGATGAGCTCCTGGCTGCAGATGGCCAGCTTGCCTGCTGGCTTTTATAGCATTACCCAGCATGGAAAAAGAGGCTTTTGCCCTCCACTTCATTTTTGTTTTCTCTGTTTTCTCTAAAGGGGTAAAGGCAGGGCGGGGGCCAGAAAATCTAAAATCCTATTCTAGTCTTAAGGAGCTGCATTTTTTTCATGGTCAGATCAGTGGCCCATTTTAAGCTAGTTGGTCTGTTATGACTGACGGTGACTCTTCAAGATCTTTCCATCCTCTGCCCTCAGAAATCCAGGGGGTTTAACCTGTCACCTTTTATTCATGCATCACATTCATTCTTGCACTGAGTATTGGTAACCTAAATTTATAGCTCTGAATTGAGGTCTCTCCCTGCCTCACCTCGGTTAAACATATGTCCTTTTTGGCATGCTGTGTTGGGCTTCTGAGATTCAGGTGTTCAAGAGGGATCTCAGGTTAAATCATAGGCATCATCAGTGGAGAAGGTAGTAGGAATGATCTCTCCTCCTCTCTCTCTGCCTGAGGCTTTGGCCTGGACTAGAGGAACAAATGGAGGTCAGGGATAAGCAGATGAGAAAGAGATGGGACTATATAGGATGCCCTGCGGCAGGCTTCCCCAGCCCTGGTGCCAGTCTGTCCCAGATGCACCCAACCAGGCCAGTGGTCAGGGATTTTAGTTGTACTCCAGCAACACCTGAGGGCCCAAGGGCCCCCATCCCTGATCTAGGAAGCATGCAAGAGATGGATGATTGTCTCTGTTCCCCCAAAGGCATTCCTTTGGGGGAACTTAGAGCCCTTCAGGTGTTGCTGGACTCCCAGCCACCATGGTCAGGGTTGATGGGAGCTGCAGTCAGCAACATCTGTAGGGCATCAGGTTGGAGAAAGTTCCTCTGAGTGTAAGGTTGTAACCCATCCCCTGTCACTAACCTTCCCAATGCTGCTAAGATTACATTTGGCTCTTCCCCTTAGAAAAGAAAAGTGCACCACCCCCAAAGTTTTCTTTTTTTGTGAAGGTGGGGCTAGTGAAGGAAGATGAAATGGACAGCAGAGCTGCAATCAGTGGGAGGGCCTCCTGGAAATGTCCCTAGTAAGCCTTGTCCTGTTTTTGGGTACCAACAACACCCCTGCAGTGGAGTTCTGTGCATTACTTTTTTCTCACACACTCTGTTCCCTGCGCATTTGGTTTAGCACTAAATCACACAACTGGCAGTGTGATTAGCTGCCATCTGGACACGCCTCTAATTGCAGCCGGAGCATCCAAGTCTGAAGATGAGTTGCTTAAAAAAAACCACCTTAATATATTTATGATTTTCAGTTTTATACATTTCAATAATCTTACAATCGTTTTAACATTTCAAAACTCGACTTCCTTCCCCCTCATTCTGCGGTTCCTTAAATTTATATTTTCTGCATATTCCAAATTAACTTAATTTTCTCATTAATTCATCTGCTTTCATCTACATCTACATTCATCTACATATACTATTATAAAGCTACAGGTTGTTACTATAATCCTGCCAATGTTCTTATCTGTGTACAGTTTATTTAGTTTGTTTGTTTGTTTGTTTGTTTATTTATTTATTTCACATATATTATTAATATAGCTGCCAAACAGACTGGCAGACTGAAATCCAAATGGGGCTTGGGAGAGCTTAGCTGCCATCTAATGGTACCTTGCAAGGTGAGGATACTGCTAAGCCAGCCTCTCCCACCCCCCCACATACACCTGGTGCCCTCCAGATGGGCTTGATGGGAGTAGTGGTCCAAGACATATGGAATGCACTAGGTTTGGGAAAGCTGATCTAAGTTTCCTTGACCCTGTTAGGAGAGTTTCTCTTTTTAGAAATCTGCATCAGCTGCCTTGCACTTGGTGGGAGAAGTTTTGGTTTTGTTACCCATTGAGATTTCTGAACTTGACTGTGTTGAAGGTGAGCTTGCTGGTAACATTCATGGCTGGATTTCTGTATGCACTACATGTTTCTCCTAACTCATTTTCCTGCTATGAGATTTTCTATGGAACTTTTTGTGTTGATTTCCAAACTTGCCTCGACTTGAGACAGTTAAAAAAGCACAAGAGGATAACATGCGTCTGGTGCCCTCATGGTTTTTTCAGTGGATGTTTGAGCTGACCCTTGTTGGAACACCCCCCCTTTCTTTTTACAAGTAATAAGCTCCACTTTATTGAGGATTAGTGCCGAGTTGCTTGCTTGCTTTTATGAGATGATGGGACGTAAGGTTGTGTGTTGTTGAAAAGACAGGGCCAAGGGGAAGGGAGTGGAGCTGAGGTCTTATGAATTATTCACTCTCCCCTGATTTCGCATTATTCTCTCCCCGATACTTTTACAACCTGTCTGTAAATAAAAACATTCTCCATTATTTATAGGGACGGGCCTGAGCCTGTGTGTGGGATTTACTGTGGCTGTTACTAAGGGGCCCTGGTGTTGCTTTAATGGGGCAGGAGAGGAGAGGGGTGTACGAAAGGGTGGTGGTTTAGAGAAGTGCTTCCTTTTTTAAAGGGATGCTCTCAGACTTTGGTTCCTGCACATTTGAAGGCTGGACAAGGCAAAGTCAGTAGGAGAGACAACCAGTTTGTGGTTTTATAGGCACCATACATTTAAAGCACACTTCCATCACACACCCTGAAGGATTCTGGGAACCATAATTATCCCTCACAAAGCTACAGTACCTGACACCCTTAACAAACTATAGTTCCCAGGCGTATTTGGAAGAATTCATATGCTTTAAATGTATGATGTGTATGCAGCCTGAATCTTAGAAGGTAGCAGCTTTTTCTTTGACTCTTTCTTTGATATCTGGTTTTTTTTAGCTCGCTTTGGAGTGTGGAGCATAACTTTTTAAACCCCTTCATGTCCTAGTGTCAGATACCTTAAGCACCACCTTCTCCCCTCTGAACTTGTTCACACTTTGAGATTGGCTTCATGGGGCCTTAACTTCATGGAGCAGGGGTGTCCCCCTCCTCGATGTTGTTGGACTCCCAATTCTCAGCAGTCCCAGCAGCCAGCATGGCCAATGGTTAGGAATGATGGGAGTTGCAGTCTAATGACATATGGAGGGCCAAAGGTTCCCTACCCTTCTCTAAGTGGTAATGCAGGTATGTAGAAAAGGTGGGGGCACCAAAACTGTGGGATGTCTTCACCATTGAGATCTGTCTGACTCTGCATTCTGGTGGATTAGGTAGGCTTCTAATCTAATAGTCATGACACAAGAGGAAAAAGGGAAAGGGAAGTTAGAAGGAAAGTGGGCAATCCCAGGCACTAGTTTTTAAAGCTGCATAGTCATTCTAATAAGGAACAGTTTGCGTGAAAACAGTTAAGGAGGAGAGGAACCAAATGGTCCTTCAGCAGAGCCCATCAAACAGGCCTTATTTCCACTTTCCCTTTGCTGCAAGCAGGTGGAATGGCTGTTTCTGTGGAAGTTTTGAATTTGTGATTTAATTCCCACTTAATGATTGTGGACACCCTTCATATTTGCATGCTTTTTAAGGTATGTATTTTCCTTAAGGAAATCAACTTACACATGGGTTATGTTAAATAGGCTTTCTGCTGTTTTGCTATTTATTTTTGCTGCTTTTGCAATTAAATATCTAAATCTGCTTTTGGATTGGTTAGTGGGCATTCTGAAAAAGCTCTTGCCTGGTTTAGAAATATTTCTAGTTTCCAATTAAGACGCCTGGGTGTTCTAACACCCCCCCCCCAGTAACTTCAGACGTAAAATACTTCACTTCTGTGTGATTCACACAGGAGAGTTTTAACTATTGTGTTTTTCCTCTGTGCTGGGTAGACAGTCAGGGCCTGGCTGGCGTCTTTTCTAATGCACGCCTGACTAAGGCTTGGGTTTCCCTTCCACACCCTTCCCCGCTAAAATCCATGTCATGTATCCATCTAGGTGGTTTCTCTTTGAGGGGTCTATTTTGGGGCATTCCCGGGGGCTGCTTTTAATTTGTGGTTCCTCCTCTGCTTCCTTGAAGCCCCGTAATGGTGTTTAAATAACCCTGAGTGGTAAGGGCTAATGGAAGACTGAATCATTCTACATGGCCCCTGTGGTTAGCCTGTGGCTTTTCTCTCAAGGCATACTGGGTAAAAGAGATGGCCAGGCTTGGATAGGAGCAGAAATGTGGACATGATAAACTTGAATCTTTTTCAACTGTACAAATAAGGATGGAACTCTCAGTTTGGTATCCGAGGATGATAATAAAAATAATAAGGGTTCAGAAGCTAATGTTGAAGTTTGCATATGAATAAAAAAAAAGCATGTGGCTTGCACTGTAATGGAGAAGTACAGACTTTAATCAGTTGATGATCAATTTTTATAAAGAAACGACAACACTGTGCTGTGATGAAACTGGTAGCGCCTCATGGGAAAACCCATCATTAGTTTTCAGTGGAATAGTTTCAAGTGGTTGCATCTTGGCTACTCCATTGTGGCACCATTTCTTTGTTAAAGCAAGTTGTATAATCTCCTAGTTCATTTCTCGTTCAGTCATGCTTCTTTTGTAAAAACTCATGGAGAGCCAGATGCCTTTTGACATTTCAGCATCTATTAGTGCATGCCATCTTCAGACTCATGGTCTTGAAAAGCCTGTGGTCTGCTGAGATACCCACTTCATCAGGCTCCTTCCTCAACTGTCACCTGGCAGCATCTATTCCATCAGACTATGGCAAGGCCTTTCCATCAGCTTTGCTCCAGCAGACTCCTGCTCAGCTGTCATTTGTGCATATCAACTCTGCCATGGTACAGGAGAGGGAGAGAGGTGGGACTGCAGAGCCTCTCTGTCAGCACTGCTGAGAGACCAGCAACTTTTGGCTGCTCCTTTTCAAATCATCCCATCCCAGTTGCTCATGAGGACAACTTCCTTTAAAAAACAACAGGTGACTGAGGTTTTTCCCCCTCCTCTCTCCCAATCCCCTTTCCTTATATGTTGTATCTTTCAGATTGTAAGCCTTAGGGCAGGGGCTGTCTTATCAGTGTCTTTTCAGCTGGATAAAAATGCTGTGAAGGAAAAGCCACAGGTTAGGAAGAATGCTTCTTTTTCCAATGACACCCTGCAGTCCTCAGCACAGCTTCAACAAGAGCCTTGCTTTCACCATGCTACGTCTCCAGCTGTGCAGACACACTAGAGAAGCAGAGGAGCCAGAGAGAGCAGAGCCCTGCTGGTTGGCTTGGCATGCGGCTTCCTTAAGGTGCTTTCTCTGAGCTTGGCGTTTGACAGCTTTACTGGCATGCGGGCCAGGCTGGAAGCATTGTGGGCTATTTACAGTGTTGAGGCCATGACTTTGTGATCAGACAGTTGACATAAATCCACATGATGGATCAGTTATCACTTCATTGAGCTGGTGGCGGATCCATTGAAGGCTGGGCAATAACATACTGTTTCCTAGCTTTGCCCAGTGCTGGGATACATTAAATACTCTTTATTTATGACCGACTGTTGTTGCACTGTGGGCTGGAGAATGCAGCTTTTGCAACTATCATCTAATTTTATGATGAACATTAAAGCCGGGCCTATAATTTGCACCTTTTTATTCATTAGACATCGGAACAGCCATAAGTCAAGAATGCCCAGGGATTTAGATGCAGATCCAGAAGATAAACTATTGACAAGCCAGATGTATTTTTACATTAGTGTGCCTTTACAATAGTTTATGTGGAGAGTGGAATATAAATTGCATTATTAAATATGAACCGCTCTTGTAACCCACTAGCTTTGCTTCCTGATGGGAAAGGAGCCTGTCTTTTTAAAAGTCATTGGGATGGGGAGCCGACTACTGAATTTCTCAAGGTGATTTCCCCCCCTTCTGAATCCCCCATCTCCAAAACCTCTCACTGTACCAGTATTAATTTAAGATTGACCCTTTATTATGGCAGTGAAGTAATTACTGGCAAACAGGAGTTTCCTTCCATCCTTGAAGCTTTCAGCTAACACACTCAGCCTGCTGGGTGTCCAGGTAGTCTGCCAGGATAGTTCTGCACCTCAGTTGCAAGAACTCCTGTGAGTACTTGGAGCTTTATTGCTTGGGAAAGCTGCCCCATTCCTCCCCATTGAGTTATAGGTCACATGCCATATGCAGCTGATCACTTACAGGCCTCTGGATCAGGGTGCATCGGCATATTTGCCAACCCCTAGAATTCTTCACTGCAACACGCACACCCAATTTTGAGATGAGGACACTGACATTCACTTCAATAGATAACATTTTGTACTATTCCTCCCCATATCCTACTAATCAGGAAAACTTAATTCAACCAGCGTTATGCAATACATAAGCAAATAATTTACAATTTAACCAGCAACTTCTTGTTCATGGAATGCCCATTTTGCGAGGCTAGGAGGACAGGGAAGATAGAAAGTTGAGATGATAGGTGTGAACTGCAACAAAACTTCGTAATACTCAAATTTCATGAATCTTTCCCTTCAGTGTGTGTGTGTGTGTGTGTGTGTGTGTGTGTGTGTGTGTGTCCGTGTCCGTGTCCCCCTAAGCAACTGCTGGAAGCTGTCTCTTGCAGGCTGTTTTTGCTTAAGTGTCCCCCTCTCCCCCTCTTCTCCACCATAGATGTACGCTCCAGATTGCAGTTTCCTATAGCTGCTTTGGATTAAAACAAAACTCAAATGATTTATTCCTGCCATGGATTGTCAGGTGACGTTTGAGCGCCATTCCTAAGTGGTTGAGGAGGAATCTCTCTGGTTGTACAGCAGTCTTAACTTGATGGAATGGTGAGGTGGGCTCTCCCTCTCCCTTGGCTGTGGGGCAAGCTGCTGCTCTCGTCTCCTGCATCTGCTGCTTGAAGTAGCTTCGGCTGATCCATTTCCAGCCTCCATATTTCCTTGTTAGGCAGCTCCAGATGCAGGAAGGGAAAAGCAAGAGCAAAGAGCCTATTGCCACCCAGAATCTTGTTCATTTATTTGTTTGAATTGTGCTTTTCTCTTGGCTGTATCTGGGATTTCTCCCTTTTCTGTCCTGCTTCAGGGTATAAGGATGCCAGGAGTCAGAGTTCACTTACAGGGTGATCCTGAGAATATGCTCAGGTCAAACAGAACAGGTAAAGCCCAGTAGTAGTTTGAGATTCTGTGCACACAGGGTAGTAAGGTTGTCAGCAAAGAGGCAAGGTAGGTCAAGGAGCTGGAATAAGGAAGTTGTTACCGCCAAAGAACATAAGGTGAGCCTGCTGTGTCAGGTCAGTGGCCCATCTAGTCCATATTTCTATTCTGTCAGTGGCAAACCAGATGCCGTAATGGGAAGTCTGCAAGAAAGACCTGAGCACAGCAGCCCCCTTCCCACTTGTGGTACTGGTATTCAGAAGCATTACTCTCACCTACAGTGGAGGGAGATCAGTAGTAGCTCTTGGTAGCCTCACCTTCAAAAAGATTCTTTTGAAATCTTCTGTGTAGTTAGATTGCCTGAACCGATCATCATTTGACTAGCTGCATTTTGCATCCAGATTGTGTCTTGTCACACCTGTGTTGAGAGGTGTACCACAGTCTGGACCTCACAATGGAGCAATAAGATGCCCACTTGCCAGGCATTCGATGCTCCTGTTCTCTCCCCTCAGCTACCCACCAATAGCCAACCAAGAACAGCCAGGTGAGTCGGCTCAGATACTTATCTGTGCGTCTCCAGGCATCATTGATATTCCCTTGCTGGTGGCGCCGTCTTTCTTGGAGGGCATTGAGTTTGCACTTAGTATGCAGTTGAAAGTGTGATGATGATGGCTTCTCGGAGATTACAGTAGGGGTGGGTGGGCGGGGGTAGGACGAGTGGAGAGAGAGGAAGAAATGAAACACAAAATGAGCTGAAGGCCTGGGAGCACACCTGCTTCTCTGCAGCCACAGCCGCCACACTGTCTCCCTAGGATAACATTCTGTAATGAGGCCTCTGATGCAGCCATTACTATCAGTTTTATTTGACTCAAGCTCCATGGCTGATGGCTCGGAGCACCAGTGAATAATCGGGGAGCAGCTGCCTTCCTCTGTGTGTGCATTGGTGGGCAGAGAGAGAGCAGAGGGTGCACAGTGCACATCCTATCAAGCGCAAGCCTAGAAGACAGGATAAGATGACTTGAGTATATGCTGACCCTCTTCTGGGGGTGTGTTCACACAAAAGCTCCTTGCTTTCCTTCTACTCATGGAAGTGAGGCAGGGTTCTACTGCCGCCTTTCAACAGCCTAAGAATCTCTGCTGGATTTGCAAAAGGAATGTCAGGTCATCACACTCTTCCATGAGTTATTGGCTTCTGGGTTTGGGAAAGGCAGTGAATATACAGGTTTGGCCAGCCTGCACACTAGTTGTGCGTACCAGCTGTGTATGCACAGCACAGTGGTTCTCTTAAAGGCAGGATAACCACATACATTTTTCTTGGGCTTTTAATCCTCTTGCTCCAGGAGACTGCAAACAAATTATTTTTTAATCTCTCTATATTTATCTGTTTTAAAAGTGTGCGCATGCACGCATACACACAAAATTAATTTTAAAAATGAATGCAACAGTTTCAAAAAACATTGCCCCCAAGTGTTGGCGATCAGGCCATGGGTGCAAAACCTGAAGTCTGAACATGCACAGCAGCCTGTGTTCCATTTAGAGCCCTGTGTGGAGCCTGAAATGTTCAGCCTGACATTAACAGCTGATGCCCGGTGGTACGCTAGCCTTTTAGCCTCCCCCTCCCATCATTTCCTTCCTGCTGTGGCCTCAACAGCCCCAGGCAGTGACGGGTTAAATGCTTTTGTTTCCGAGGTAATACAGTTTATATGATGGGCATGAATAAAAGATGATCGTGCCTGGGTAGCTGTCAGGCTTGTGTTTTTCCTCAGTATATAAAGGCTTCTACTGTTGCTTGACAGTAAAAGACTATGTTTGGGAGCCGGGCGGGGGGGGGGGGTTCTCAAAGGAGCTAAATAAATAAGGGGTGCTTATTTTTACACCAGGAAAGGCTGCTGGGAAGAGAGAAAGGGGCTTGTTTATCTCTCTGAAATCATGGCCTTTGCTGGTGTTTCACTTAGAAAGGATTTGCATGTGTGCTAATCATTCACCTAGCTGGACGCTTTGCCCTTCCCAGTAAGCAGCTATTGTAGTCTTATCAGGACTTGCAAATCCAGTGCAAATATTGGCCCTGTGTGGATGCATTAAAAAAAAACAAAGTAAAAGAAGAAGAAACACTACCTGCACAGACACACCCATTGGCATCTGGCCACCAGTGCTTGGGCCAGTGGGTGTTAGCTGGCAGGTGCTGTCCAGGGTGAGACAGCAACTCCCATTTTAGTGGTGTTTCAAAAGATGGTTGGCCCTGCAAGGGAGCCAGTTCTTGTTGGGAAGCACATGGGACATTACAGGCAGAGCTGTGCCATTTGTGTGGGTCCTGGGGAAATATCAGGTCAGTGCTAAAACTGCATTGGAAGTGAGATCCTGCTCTGTGGAAGAAGGATATTTCAGTCTGCATCTGTTTAATTGCGTAATTGCAAAAAAAAAACCCCTGCACCTCGATTTTCATGTGAAGAGGCAAGTGGCCAAAGGGCAAGAGTCAAAGCATGTCTCCAGGTGGCTTTAATTTGACAAAGCAGGTGAATGTTGCTCATGCATAATTCTGCCATCCAGATGTGCAGCTTTCAGCTAGAAGATGTTATGCTTACTGCTTTGTTTTTGAATCCTTAGTGCAGAGGTTTTCAACCTTTTTGAGTCCACGGCTCCCTTGACCAGTGGCTGGGGAAACCCAGCCAGATGTGTGGGGGTATTACTACTACTACTACTACTACTACTACTACTACTACTAATAATTGACCAATTACACTCTTTCTGTGGCACCCCTGTGGAGCTCAGGAGCCCAGTTACATCACCCCTTGCCTGCAGAGCTGGCAGCCTCTCACCCTTTTTCAAACACCCTCCCTTGTGGAGTGTTCCCTCAGCCTCCTCTCCTCTCCCCTCTCTTTGGGAGTCCTCTAGGCAGCCATAGTTGCTGCCCCTGGCCTCTGAGGTGCCTCCCCTCAGAGAAAGAAAGATGCCTCCTCACAGTGCCCCACAGGGGCCTGGGAAGCACCCCCTGGCCGGCCACAGAGGCACCATTTGCCTGGGGAGCTTGTGGCCCAGGCTGCTGCAACAAACAGATGTGCAAGCCTTTGGGAGGCAGAGATGCAAGAGGGCATCAGAGGAGGGAGGGAAGGAAGGAAATAGGGACAGAGGCCAGTGTTGCCCACTGCACCATTGACCATAATTCAGGGCACCCCACTTCCTTAGTGTGTATGTGTGCTTGGTGTGGGGGGAGTTCTCCCTCTGCCATGCTTCCCCCACCCTAATCTTTCTATCCAGCCATGAGAGCTAGAAACTTCTCTGAACAAAAGTAAAAGCTGCATTCCCAAGAAAGCCTCAGAGCCACTCAGAACCAGACCATGAATTATTTGGTGCACCACACAGTTTTCTCCCTGCAGATTAAAAATAAATAAATGAAAAGGTGGGAGAAAGAAAGGTGAGCAGAGAGGCATTGAATGGAATGGTTTGTTTTCTGCAATGGTATGAAAACAGTCCATTGCAATAACCAAATTAGTGGAGGGGTGGCAGCAGAGGAGGCTGTCACCCCTCCACCTTCCTTTCCAGAGCCGAGTGCTCTGTGGGGCTGGAAGAAGTATTTTGTTCAGATTTCTAAAACTGGAGGTTTTATCCTCTTGAGTTTGGGGCACCAAACCAAGTAAGACTAAATAATTACTTCATATTTGCAGGGGGCAGCATGACTTTTCCAGGCACCCTGTGGAAGTTGATATTGACTCCCACACACACTTTCTGGTCATGAGCATTGCATCTTGGACGGGGTGGGGGAGTGGGACAATCTCATGGCTCTTAAGAAACGTAGGAAGCTGCCTTGTACAGAGGAACATTTGGTCCATGTATCCCAGTATTATTTCCACTGGCTGGCTGCAGATCCCTAGGGTTTTAATCAGGAAGTCTTTTCTAGCCTTACCTGGAAATGGCAGGGATAGAACCTGGCGCTTTCTGCATGCAGATGCTCTATCACTGATCTATGACCCCTTTCCCAGAGTTTGCCTTATGTGTGTACCCGAAAGCAGCAAACCAGTCCTGCACCTGGTTTGTGCTTGGAATGAAGAAATTGTCATTGGAGTGGGGTGGGGACAATTCTTTGGGCAGCTGACCTTGCTGTGTGCAGGAAAACTCAGTTCTTCGTTCCTCTTGTTTTCCCTCTCTCTATGTTATCCCCACCCCCCCAGTGCCAAATCCTGGATCCCTCCCGGAGCACTCCAGAGCAGGCTCCGAGTAATTATTCTGAACAGGCTGTGTGCAAACACCTGCTTCGTTTGTCCCTGAGAATCTCTAATCTTCCCTTCCCGCACACTAACAGGCAGTCTGGTTCCGCACGCCTTGCGCAGCCGCCAGATGCTCCCGCCCGTATCCGGCTATCATTTCTCTAGTGAAGTGTAACGGGGAAGAGCGCTGGGTGCCTCTCTCTCCACTTGTCTCTGCGCATCTGTCACTCGCTGCCGCTGCCGTCAGTAGAAAAATCATCACCCCATCGAGTCATGCATATGGAACGTGAGATGGGCAGAATTATTTATACTGGTGCATGTTGGGGTTCTACATTAGTCCCCCCTTTTTTCTTTTTAGGGTCTGGATAGGCAGCCTTGACATGGAACGTGCCCCCACCCTCTTGCATGCTTCCTGTTCAGCCAGAGAAACAGAGCTTCTGAAACACATTATTTTTAAGGGCCCTCATTCTAAAGTTTGGTCAGTTCCATCTCTTTGCTGTGGAGGGGAAATGCAACCCATTTCTTAACGTGTAGCTTCAAGGTTTATGATAGTTTGATTTTCTTGTGTGAGTGTGGTTCACCGATGTGTGTTAAATTATTATTTATTTAAAATGTTTGTCCTGCTTTCCCTCTCCCACAAAGGACTTGCTTAGAGAGGCTTACAATTTAAAAGCCAACATAAAAGTGATCCAGCACATTCAGAATCTCTAACCTGTTCAGGTGTAACTAATCTCTGTGAAAGTCAAGTATGCACACTTTCTTGAAATGCTTCTCTGATTGGAGCAGGCCAAAGTCCAAATTGTCCAGTCCGGCATTTTTGCAGTAATAGTGCATTAATGGTGTGTTTGTTCTGGACTGTCCATGCGTCATTCTGTTTTATTAGTTGTCCTGTGATGCTTCCCCAGTGTTACTGCATCATTGCAATCTGGTGGGGCACTTTTGTGCGATAGTGCAATGAAAGTAGGACCCCACCCAGAACATTTCTGGTATGAAGACTTAACAGGATTTTAGCAGGGAACTGCAGTACATGCAAACAAAGCAGTATGTCCACCCTAAAACTGTTGCAGTGTTCCCTTACTTTGTGCTCCAGAACAGTCATATAGGGAAGAATAATTTTCAAGCTCTGTGTGAACATGGTTTAGATTTTGGAAAAGGAACAGAGAAACAAAGGCCAAGGCATCTTTTCCTCTTTGCCCTAGTCCAGCTCAAGGGCTTCATTCCCTTTTGAGGCGGGAGAGCTGTATGCCAGTAGTGGGTGTTGACAGAGACAAAGTGGATGGAGTAATGGATTAGGCTCTTGCCTCTCACACATCCAGCTGTGTTCAAGCCACACACTCAGGGTTTTACACCTGCACAGCCTGCTGTAGGTCATCTAGCGAGCTAGAGGCATCATCACAATGCAAGGAAGCATTCCAGCCAGGCAGAAGCATTTGAGGAAGGGGTGGAGCTGTGTTGGTGAGTGGTGTGACCTAAGGAGACACCTGAAGGCTGGATAGAGGTTTGAATCTCAGGCCTGAGGTCCTGCACCTTTGACTGGCAGAGGCTTTCCAGGATTCTGCCCCAGAGCCCTACCCAGTGATACTGGGGGGTCGAACCAAGAACCTTCTTACAAAGCTCTATCTCTGAACTATCCTCCCCTTCCTTTTAGTACTGGGTACTCAATGGACAAATATCCTCACCTGGATAAGGCTTCTTCCTGGGTTCCCAATCTTGCTAGCTGGCTACAGGCTATATTTAGCTATGGAAATCTGAGAGCTTTATGCTGGTGTCCTCATGCCAGCACCTTGGGGCAGTGCGTAAACTTTGCTAGCTCCATTGCAACTGTCTGTGTGGTTTTGCTGTGTGCTTGTGTATGGCAAGTGGGCTGGTGTCCTGTAGACAAAATGCTTACCTTGAGAGGCCATCTCAACACTAAAAGAAGTTGCTGGTGATTCAAGTCAAGATGATGAGAGATGATGAATCAAGGTGCTACATTGGGGGTAGGTGAGTGACAGAATTTAATTTTAGAGTGGGTGATGGCAGTTGTCAAGAGTCTGCTTTTCTAAGAACACAGAGAGAGCCTGCTAGATCAGACAAATGACCCATCTATACTAGCATCTTGCTATCATAGTGGCCAACCAGATGCCCTGGGAAGCCTGATTGTGATTCCCAGAAATTGGCATTCAGAGGCATACTGCCTCAGGCAGTAGAGGTAGAACACAGCCATACTGGCTAGCAGCCATTTCCTAGATCTTCTCCATTGTCTCCTAAGCCTTGCTTTCATTTTTGACTTTGTAGTGTTGCCCTGCAGTGTTCTAGAGCCTAGACCTAAGGAATAGCACACTAGCAGTTCAATATTTTTTATCCACAGTTTCAAGCACCCTTGAGATCATACACTTAACTAGCTCGTCCAGTTGACCCGTATGTCCCCATGGCAAGGATGCATCCAGGCTGGAGATGACCCCAATTAGTAAGTTGCCATTGCCATTCACTAGGCCTGGCCTTCTCTGCTCTAGGAGTGAATTGCACCACCTTCCCTCAATCTTGCTGCGTCTTTAGCAGCAGCAAGTGCAGGATCACAGCTTCCTGCCAGTGCTATTCTGGTCTTTGGACTGGTGTTACTATGCTTGAGCCTCCTGCATGTGATGGAAGACCCTTTGGGAAATGATGTGGGTTTTCATAATCAGCAGGAAGTATTAAGATGTCTTGGAGATGAGAGGTGTAGCGGATGCCATGCCAGCCCTTTCACAGGCGCAGATCTGTGAAAGGGAACTGGACTGGAATGGTAAATTCCTATCTGCTCCAGTCTTTAAATGAGCTGGTAGTTGTGTTAAGGGAAGAGACTATCTGGGGTGGGTTTGTGGAACCTTCCTACATCCAAAGGGGGAACCAAAAGTGG